AAAAAAAAAAAAAAAAAAAAAAAAAAAAAACACTGATTATATCTGTCCATAAATTTTTTGAATGAGATAAAATTGATTAAACTTTCCTCCTTTTTGTTGCTCATTAGTAAAATGGAAAATGGGTTGTGTGATTTGTAGCACTTCCTGCGGTTGCTCATTATTCGTAGTCTTTTTTTTTTTTTTTTTTTTTTTTTTTTTCCCTGGTTTTGTCGATAATACCTTTGTTAAGTTTGCGCGCTGGGGATTTTGCTCCAAAGAACACTTGCTTGTTTTTGTTTTCTTTTGCTACACATCGCGCATGTCACATGGCGTTTGACGCACCGTGCTTGTCGCAACACACTTGGCGCACCGCACTTATAAATATGGATCTTTGCCTTTTTCTCTCCCTTTTTTTTTCCCCCTCTCCCACTTCAATCCCATTTTAATATATTGAAATGTAGTACCAATTTGAAATTCCTTTTTTTGTGCTTTTTGTTTTTTCGTTCGATAAATAAAACTTCTATTGAGTTACACTTTGTCTATTTCAGTGCTTTTTTTTTTTTTTTTTTTTTTTTCCCCTTTGGTCTCATTTAAGCCCATGTCAAATGAGAGAATGGCAGTTTGAAAAATGCTTTTCCGTTATTCTGGCAATTCGTTAAAAGTGCGTTTTGAGTGGATCCCAGAGGTTTCCTCGAGTGTGCGTCCCTTTTCGAGCTTACACACGGGTAGGTGCATGCGGGGTGGGAGAGAGGGGAAGAAAAGCACACTCAAGATTGGCCCCGCACGTGTGCTGATCCCTTACACACGTTGACACATCTCGCGAATTCCCCACCCTTTTTTTACACACGCGCAAAAAAAGCACGCACACACCCCGCGCCACTTACACACGCCCAAGTGCATGCAACGCGAACTCTCTTCGTTCCAAGGGTTCCCAGGGTAAAATTTACACACCTCAGCCAAGCCAACCATACTGTGAGGAGTTACTCGGCATGTTCCACTTGAGAAGCTGCACTTGAGAAGCTCCATTTGAGAAGCCTCACTGACCAATCGCCCCTCACAACCACTAACCACCAAGCACACCTCCCCCCCCCACGAGCTAAGACCTCTGTGCTCTGCGTTCGCCAACCCTGGGATGTTCGTTCCAACAAGAAGGGGGACAGGAAAGCATACTCGTTGGCAGAGCTTTACACCCCTGCACCCTTCACTTCCTCCTTATTCTTATACACCTTCCACTTGTGCGTGCAGCATTTGGGTAAGTGCTCTCCTCAGCAGGGAGCCAAATAAACGGTGGACGCGTAGCGCCGCTGTATACTTATGGCTTAACGGTAGTGATTTACACCCCACCCCTTGCTTTGCACTGACGAGGTTGAGGAAGCGGTTGTGAAAACGGTTAGGCAAACGGTTGGGCAGACGGTTGGGAGAACGGTTAGGCAAACGGTTGGGCAGACGGTTGGGAGAACGGCTAGGCAGACGGCTGGACAAGGGACACCGCAGTGAAGTGGTTCGATAGGAGAGCCAAACGAAGCGGTCTGCTAGGTGGATGACCACACTCTGTTCGTTACTCTCTTGGGTATCACACATGTACATATGTACATATATACATATGTATGTGTATGTATGTATGCGTAACGGCTGTACGCACGCCCACTTGTCCCTCCTGCCCACCCCAGCACGCCCACCATGTACGGCATAACGCTGACAAAGTGCAAAATATATTTCAACAATATATACTCGACGGTGTCGCTGGAGGAGAAGCTGGGGGGCGGGACCTACGGAGATGTGTACAAAGGGAAGGTTATAAAGTACAATAACAGCAACAACAACGACCTCTACCAAAATACAAATTACCTGCCATACGACTACTACACGGACGAGTTCGTCTTCTTCAGAAAAAACATTTACGCGATAAAATTTTTTCGTGACGATTTGAAAACGATAAATGAAGAAGGGATTAGTTGCACAACCTTGAGGGAATTGAGTTGTTTAAAAAATATTGGAAGGCACCCAAACATCTTAAGACTCATAGACGTTACAATTGACAGGCAAAAATGCATCAGTGAGTATATTAATCGGCAGATTCTACAACACCATGCTTCTAATTTTCAGCACTCTAAAAAATTGGATATGACTCCTTTGGCTGCGGACCAAAAATTTATTTTTGCTGCGTATGAGTACTGTGATGCGGGAGATTTGAAGAGGCTCATTCAGAAAACGAAAATCACTGATGACCAGGCGGGCCTAAGTTTGAAGGAAGCCAAGTGGTTATCCTTTCAACTGTTAAATGGACTTGCTTATCTACACAATAATAAAATGTGCCACAGAGATTTGAAACCTGAAAATGTCATGTTGCAGCAAACAGCTAATCGTAAATTTTTGCTTAAGATTGGGGACTTGGGGTTGTGCAGGGAGTTAAAAAATGATGGAGACATGACTCCCACTGTGTGTACCATTTATTACCGTCCTCTGGAAGTGTTACTTTCTAAGTTTGAGATGGCTAAGGGGAAAAAGGGGCGCGCCAAGGGAAAGGGAAAGGTCAAACCACCAACAAATGGCTTGTCCACATATGCCAATTTGTCTCATGCGAATCATCCCAATGCAAGTGCTCTTCATTCCAGCGCTCCGTACCCTTCTCGCGCCCCCTCCACTAGAGGTATCGACAGCAGCGGTAACAGTAGAACCCACGCGGCGAGCGCTGCGTGCACGACGGACAGGGGCACGGGCGGTGGAAACAAAAGTGGTCACGCACACGCCCATGCAAACGATATGAGGGGTAAGGGGGATAAGACGGATAAGAATAAGAAGAAGATTAGGCAGCGGGAAAAAGTAGCGGAAGGGGATAAAGGCACACAGAGAAAGAGGGAGAGGGCACGTCTCAGGGGAATTGAAGAAGACGACTACTACAACAACAAAGATTTTCAATACGGACTGAATGTTGACATTTGGTCAGCAGCCTGCATCATCTGCGAACTCATTATAGGCAGACCATTATTCAGAGGCGTGACAGAATTTGATCTGATCATACGAATTGTGAATTCATTGGGCAAGCCAAACAATGAAGAGTTAGAATTTTTTAGTGACTCTCGATTTTATCCTCTTAAAGAAGATTTCTTCAATGTTAATATAAAAAACAAAAAGGATGCATTGAATGTTATCACCAATGGTAGGATAGATGAGTTGGGTATAGACCTCCTTGTAAAAATGTTAAAGTATAACCCAAATGATAGAATCACAGCAGCAGACGCGCTTTCACACCCATGGTTTTCAGACATACGTTTTGATAACCTCGATGGAATAGGAGTGTATAATTGGTATGTACATTGCTTAAAATATTATATTGGAATAAAAACATTTCGAGAAATTGAACAGAAGAAAAAGAATCTTCTAACCACCACCATGATATCTCACTTTTTATGTAAGTCCAATGATAGGCATGGAAAAATAATTTTTAAGCTTATAAATGACACCTTTAAAAATTTGGGGGGATATAAAAAAAGTGGCAGAAGATCTTTTGCTATTTTTTCTGACCAGTACGCCAAGGACGATAAAAATGCCAATGGCTTTATTAAGCGAGCTAGTATTAAGGTGCTAAATGATATGAAGGAAAAGAATGTCATTGAGGCCAAGGAAGAAATGTCCTTTTATGACGATAGCACCAATTATGTCACTCCTCCTCCTACATGCTCTAAGAGAAGGAAATTCAACCGATCTAGCTACCATGCTGTCAACCCTGAGACATCTTACGAGTTGGCCACATCCATGCGCGTCAAGCGGAACCTCTCCATTCCAGACTTTTCCTCCCCTGATAGGAAGAAGCACCGACGCAAGGACCACTTCAAGTCCGCCACCACCACCAACAGGGCCGCCGCGCACCCGCTGCCCACCTTCCACGGATTCACCTAGGGGTTATTATGTGGCACCATCTGTGCGGCACACCGCTAACCTTGCCAGGAGAAAGGGCAGCACGGCATGTAACAGAACAGTGGCCGCGCATGACGCATGATGCAATTGCCGTCCCAGCCCATGCGAACGGTCCAGAAACATCTACCTTGTTTCAAGCCGGCACCTAGTTCGCAAAAGCAGCAACAAGTCACCCCACACGCAGCGGTATATATATATATGTGTGTGTGCGCGCGGATGGTACGTTTCCTCCATTCGACTTACCTACACACGAATCGTTTCATTTCTTTTTTTCCATTTTTTATTTTTAAAATTGGCGCTCTGACACAAAGGAGAGGCGTTTTGCCTCCCTTCCTCCCCCTTTTTCGTTTTCTGCACAACTGCAATTACGCTGTCGTCAATTTGGTATTCGAAGTGGATCACCCACGTCACGTCGCGCAGCGTGTCTCTTCCCCCCCCCCTCCCTCATTTCGTTCCACCACATTTAGCTTCGTCTCATCACATTTAGCTGCATCTCAACACATTTCATATCCTTTCACACCATTTTTTTTTTTTTTTTTTTTTTGTGTAAATTAAACGTGTCGAACTCCGTGCGCACTGCTACCCCCGAGGCGGCAACCCCCCTTATCCCCCCCCTGCTCTCGCACATCTGTCCTTTTTTAACATGGTCAATTTTTTTTTTAAAAAACAAATACAAATAAAGCGTTCAACGAGGTTGGGAAAAAGTTTATGAATTGTACAAAATCACATCGAGTGTAAAAAGTTCAAATGAAGGCATGTATACATTAAGCCCTGGTCATCGAGGACAACGGTTGTCTTTAAAATTACTTCTGAATAACCGCCAACTGGGCGCTCTTCTGTCCATTAGGTGAACTGCATTTGGCACGATGGGCACTTGGTGTTGTGGGACGTCAGGAACCACCTGAAAAAACAAAAGGGGGTGGGAAAGAGGTAAAAGGGAAATGTGATATAAAAATGCGAAGACGCATTAGGGGGCATGCAAAACGAGTGATAAGATAAGTGTCTACAGAACGTACTTGTGTAGGCAGTAGCTATGGTAGGAAGTGCCGCACTGGGAGCAGGCCTTGTCGCAAGTCTTCGTCTCGTACAAAATCATGAAACAGATGTTGCACTGGGATTTATTTTCAAAGTAGCCATTCATAATGCTGTCAAATTTTACGAACATCTCGTTTATGTTTCCTGTCCGGGCATACTTGTACATGCTCTTAATGGAGTTGTGCACATGGGCCTTCTTGTCTGCAGGGGATGATGTGAGGGGGAGAAAGAGGTTCACATGGAGTGACAAGTGTGCAGTAGCGAATATGGGTGCGATAAAAATTGAGTTATACGTATTAATTTTTTTTTTTACATATCTCTCACACGGTTAAGGGGCGTCATAAAAATTATTTTATTTTTTAAACTGTGGAAGTACCCCCCCCCCCCCCCCAAAAAAATGCCCAGCGGAGTTATGTGAGTGTATGTGCTGGCGTTCACTGTGACTTACCCAACGACTCAATCCTGTCACTTATGACCATGTGCGAGAACGGGTAGTTGGGCAGGAAGATCAAAGTCAACTTTGCAGTGACGTCCTCGAACTGCTCACTGTCGTCTTCCTTTATCTTGTACTTAAATGTTAGTGTCTTGGTAAGGGGGTCATACTGGAATGTGGTGTTAATGTACTCACTAGAAATTTGACTGAGTTCGTTCAGCTGTTTTGCAATGATTATATTTGAAAAAAGAATTTTGTTGAAGTTCACAATATCGTGTAGCTTCGTTTCGTTTGTTATGGTGATGCACTCGTTCGGGTAAATCGTTATGAGGCGCAGGACAAGGTGCAGGGCGAGCAGAAATATGTACAGCTTTTTTCTGTCTTGGTTGTGGAAGGGAGGATTGTCTATTTCATTCTTCCTGGATGAGCTGCCTTCCCACTTGTTCTTCGTTGTGCTCCCCTCAAGGATGTGGCCGACGCGCTTAATATCACTCAAAAAATCACCCACACACAAATTGTGACTTTCCACGAAGGCCATGAACTGCTGGTGCAACTCTGGCTCGTAAATAAAATACTCAGGGGATAAACATATGTTTAACATGGAGAGAAGGATCTTCAAATAATTTAAGTCGAGGACGAATGAATACAGATCAATGATGTTTTTGTTAAGGTCGATTAGGAGAGATGGGTTCTTCAGTTGGTTTTTCAAAGCATGCAAGGGGTTCATTCTTTTTTTTGAATTTTCTTCCCTCTTTGTGAAGTTCGTTGGGGGAGACAAATGTACAGATTGAGGAATATCGTTTGGAGTGCCATCAGATCTATCTGGTGTGTCCGCTTTCTGGTCATCCTCATGTTCATCCTCTTGACAATTTTGCATGACCTTGGTTGGGCTCACCGTGGGACTGTCCTCTCTGCTGCTGTTTTGATGGCCCCTTTTTCTTACCTCATTTGCTTCTTTCACTGGGGATTCTTTGCTCTTTGTTTTGGCAGGGCCTCCGTTAGGCTCGCTCCAAAAGGCCTCATCGCTATCCTCAGCGGGGTCACACAGGTTGTCACTTCGAACGCAGTTATCGCTTCTCACACCTGGTGCAGCAGAGTCCGCTACAGCATCCGCAGCAGCGTCCGCGCCGGGCTCCACCCCCAAGACGCGACAATCATGCCCATCAGCACCGCCCCCCGCAGCGAACAGCAAAAATAAATTCCTCCCCACTTCATTTATGTGCAAAAAGGAATTGATCACGGAAAATTTAAAAACGTGAGAGCCTTTCAACTTGTGCAGCTCAGAGAAGAAAAGACAATTCATAAGAAGAATACTCAACGTTTTGTCAACAAAAAAGTTACTGTCCCTGCATTTTTCCACATTTGAAAAAAGGATGAACAGGTAATAAGTGTTTACATACAGGTCCATCACTTTCTTCATCAGCTTGGTCAACCCATACCTACTTAATTTCATTTCATTTAAGCGAAAAATATCTGTCGTGAGGTAGTCACAAAAGTTGGTAATACTAGCTGGAAGAGAGAATAAATAAATTTTGTAAATCGACTTGACATTTTCCTCATGAAACTTTATAAGTAGCTTCAACATTTGTGTAGCCAGCGTCACCATTTCACAATCCACTACTCCACCATCACAGCAACTAATGGAGATAATAAAATAAACAAGCTTCATTAAATCAGCTGTGATTTTCTTTACGTCCTTAAATGTTAATAAATATGTTTTGCTCTCCATTTCACATTTCATATATATGTACTTTAGAAAGTGTAAGCCCATTTTTGAATGTAGTAATTGGTGGGACTCCCTTTTTTTGCTTTCAATTTTTTTCTCTTTGCTTTTTTGTCCCTTTAGTTTGCTTCTAACTGTGTTGGGGGGTCCCTTCCTACCGATGCCACTTCCCGTCAGGGTCTCATTTAGGGTTCTCCATTTCTGCTTATGCAGTGCGCTCTGCTCGTCGTGCAACTTGCGGTAGAAGTTTTTTACCGTGCTGAGGAAGGTACAGAAGGCCTCCTCCACACGGTGGGCGTCACTTGGGGGGTCGTCATTTGGCTGTGCTTCAGTCGGGGGTACTTCACTCAGTAAAACTCCCTTGGGCAGGTCGACCCGCTCGGGGGGGATGTATTCCCCCGGAAAGGCGCCCTTCACAAAGCCGAGGCAACAAAAGAACACATCAAAGTTGGTCCAAGTAACATACTGCAGGGCCAACCCTAGGAGTACTTTCCTCCTCACGATAGCGCACTCGAACAGATTAACATCTTCGTATCTGCTACTGATGCATATCAAGTGGTACAGAAGGTTTAAGCAAGGTAGCTCTCCTTTCACGTTCAGGGCAAGGTTCTTGTCCACGTAGGTGTGCATACCTCGCGGCAGTCTCTCCTTCAGCTTGATCATTTCGTCTTCATACTGCTTGCCATCTCGGTGGGGGGCATCTTCCCTGGTAACACCTCCCTCTGCCCCATCGCCGCCGCTACCGCCGCTACCGCCGCTACCGCCGCTACCGTCGCTGCCGCCGCATAAGAGACACTCCTCAAATAGGAACACCTTCACTTGCAAGTCGAACAAGCTCTTCACCTTAAAATTGTCAAGCTCGCTAATGACTTCCCTCAACGCTTCTGCAGAAAGACCCCCACTGCCTCTACGACACGTTATGATGTCCCTACAGATGTTGAAGACGTCCCATTTATTCACCTGTCTCATGACGCACACGACATCTGATATGCTCACATGGTGGGGATGTGACTTCTTCCTCCTGCTCTTATTCCCGCCCAGCTGCCTGAACACATAAATGAGCAGATCCAGCATCCCCATTTCGTCTCCCTCACTTGTTTGTATCTTATCTTTCAAGCAGACGATGTGATAGAACAAAAATTTATTTTTTATGTTGGCATAGGCGAAATGGTAGAAATTGCAGAATCGGTATAATGCTTGATTCTTGTATGACTCCTTCAGGGACTTTTCCTCACTTGCCCCTGGAGTGGTCACGTCAAAACATAGCATGGTGAATTCCTTCAAGTGGCCAATGGAAAAACACTCCACTTGGTAATACAGCTTGTACACACTTAGCAGTCGTTCTATGAATCGCGGATTCAGGATATCCCTTTTGCGTAACGATAAGAATCCTTCTCTACTGCTCTCTTCTCGAACACTTCCTTTTGTGGGACGCTCCTCGTCTTCCCTCTTCAACTCGCTGCTATCCAGTGCGGTGTTCGTGTTCTCTTCTTCCTCCTCCTCACCAATGTAGGTTAGCCTGACCAAAGAGTTACTCACAAGTAGGCCAACGTTGAAATTGTCCCCCTCGGCCACTTCACTCATGTCGTCACTTTCGCTTTCATCATAGTCATCCTTACACAGGTTCATGGTGGAAGTGAAGGAGTGGGACCACAACATCTTCCCCCTTCTGTCCTCTTCATCGTTTTGCATACACCACTTGTACACATCCCGCATCACTTGCAGGCAGGAGAATGTACTATCCTTACTCAGTTTTGACGACACGAACAATTCCTTCATGTGTCTCTCTACATGTTGGTCTTTCACATTTAAGAGAATTGCAAATAACAAATGTAGGTGGACATCGTCCAGTGGGGGGCTAGTCTCCTTCCTCGTTCTCATTACATAGTAGGAGAAAAAGAACAAAGAAAAATCTTCATCCGGGAGGGTTCTACTCAAATTCATTTTTGTCCAATACGAATGGAACACACCTTGGTAGAACTGCTCTCCAAAGAGGTCGAGATGGTCTTCTGCGTCCCACTGCACGGCGGCGTAAAACGCCTTCAGTGGTGCACACTCCAGACCATGGCGGCCATCACAATCCTTGCGATTGTCCTCAAAAGGGGAAGCACCTCCACCCCTCACACCCTGCAGGAGGTAGTAATTGTATATTTGCAGGGCAGTCTCCGAGAGGTCGAAAAATTTTGTGCGCTCCTTCCTCATAAAATTGATCAGCTTCACGCAGATGGTCAGCTGCTTCTCAACAGTGTCTTTAGTTGGAGATCCTCCAAGAAGTGCCTGAAAGGGAGGGGGGGAAAATGACATTAAAAAAAAAGCATGTACAGATTAGTTCCTCTCTATATGCATGTAAACAGGGGGGCACACATATATACCACAATGGAAAGTGGTAAATGGGGAATATTTCACCTCCCGCACGCTTACCTCCTGGAGGGACTTGGCCAGGGCATCGCACGACTTGCCCCCCTTGGAGCAAATGAACGCCAAGAGGTTCAGAGTGACGTCGAGGGAGCTGAACAGGGCGTCTCCCCCATGGGTTGCCCCGTCTGAAAGGTTCTCCTTTTCTCTGTCCCCACTTTTGCCCCATTTCATAAAGTCCATGAACACGCAGAACACCCGTTCCAGCGAAACCTCTTCATCCTCCACTTCCCCCTGCGCTAAGAGATACTCCAACAGCCCCCAATGCTTCTTCACCATACCAGAGGCACCGTAATTTCTTTCCTCCACCATCAGGCAAGCGATTTTGAAGGTGCACTTCAAAGTGTGAATGAAGGCTATCCTGACAGAGGCATTACTTTGGTTAGCTACATCTCCTGGGCTGTCCACTTCATCCCCTCGTAAAAACACCACCCCTTTCAGTTCTGTTAGAAGGTTCAAAATGAAATCAACCGCTTCGTGATATTTGTGCCTTCCGCTAAGGCTTCCACCACACTGGGGGGAACTTCCAGACCGACTAAGAAGTGCTTCACTGTTCATCGTATCACCTCTCCCCAACTCCTTCGCCAGGTCTCTCGTGTACACATTGAGCATGTGCAAACAACTTAGAATCATTGTGTTTGTACATCTGGGTGACTTGAGAAAGTTGATGTAGGTACGGATGAAGGTAGCATCCTCCAACTTGTCGGCAATTATTTTCCTCTTTAATTCTTCAAACTGATCCTTATCCTTACCGTCCTTACTTGGCTTCTTCTTCTGGCAGTAGTATATATTCGACAGAGCCTCATAAAGATGCTGTTCCTTCACGAATGAGCATTTATAAGGTACGCCAATTTTTTGAGCAAGGATTGTCTCTAATGGGAGGTGCAAGATGTGTTCACTTAGCACTGTGTAGCAGTCATATTCGGCAAGGGAGTAAGGGGTACCTGTATCTTTCCTTTCGCTGAGGCTGCTCCCCACATGGGTTGTCTCTTCCCCCGTGAAGTAGCCAAGCAAATGGTGTAACAAGTCGTAATAAACAACCAGCGAAGATGACATGCCGTGCTGTAGCAGTAAAAACAAAAATATAAAAAAAAAAAAAAAAAAAAATCTCGAATATCATTCTTCTCAAATATGAAGATGAATAAAGAAATGTTATAATTAAAAATTTCGTTCTTCATAATTTTGTTTTGCTTAATTAGGGACAAATAACATTTTAATAAATTCTCGTTAATCATTTTTTTATTTGCTGAAAAAAAATACAAAAGCAACAAGTGATTTATATGTTTCAGGATATACTCATCTCTGTTGCTGATGACAGAAGATATGTAATTGAAGATTTCTGTGTTTGTTTTTTCTTCACCAAAATCGGAGTAATTTAATTTATACTTTTTCAGCAAGTATATAATGTTGTAGACAGCCAGGAAGAGCATTTTCTTTACTCGTTCATTGTCTTTGCTTTCTTTGTAAATTGAGTTTACTGCATCGAAGAAGAGGCTGAACGTGCTGGCGAAGGTGGGGAATTCCGTTCGAATGAACTGCTTCACTGAGTTGACGTCGTTACGGTTTGGTGAGGCCGTTGTATCGTTGTCCTCCACGGGGCGCTTCTCGTTCCCCCCCTGGTCGTCACACCCCTTGGCAATTCTCACCAGCATGTACAAAAGGGATGGATAAAAACAAACCACGTTGAACAGGTACACACCATAATCGTAATCCTCGTCGTTCTTTTTGTTGTTCAAGTTTTTCGTGACTTCCTCACAGAGGGGACCTCCAACATACTTGAGGCAGTTATACAGGTTAGTCAAATTGACCTTCAAATTTTTTATCACTCCGTAAAGCTTGAGTTCCTCCTGTAGGCGTATCTTTCCCGGTTTCGTTTTTTTTGCCTTTACTGGAGGCTGCCTGACTGGGTCTTCCACCGCCCCCGATTCTTGGGTCTTCCCTTTGGGGGGGAAAATGATGAGCAGAATTTCTCCCGCGATGTGTTTTACCTGTAGGGGGGGGGGGAAGAAGTAACAGTGTGCTTGTAACGCGGTGTGCTTATAACGCGGCGTGCTTATAACGCGGCGTGCTGCTAGCGCGATAAGCACACCCATGGACGGCTCCTCCTGGAACGCGCTTGCCTTACATTTTTGCTGTAGTCGAAGAGGGACACAAAGAGTGGCGGCAGGAACACACTGAGGTGGGCCTTGATCTTGGTCTTAACTTTTACTATGAACAACTTCAGGCACAGGTTTAGGTCTGCGAAAAGGGGGGAGCGATGTGGTTGAAATTGCGACGTGGCTGCTATACAGTGCGACATGAAACGACGACACGACAAACGAGCTTCCTACTTTCCCTCAAGCCATAGTTCGGGTGATATATCAACTTTTTGTACACGCTGACAAAGGAGGAGAACAGGTGGCTCACTTCGTCTTCGTCGTACGTGCTCAGGTGTACAATTAGTTCCTGCGGGTAGGTAACGGGTAGAGAGCAGTTATGGTAGATGACACACAATTGGGAAAAAAAAAAAAAAAAAAAAAAAAAAAAAAAAAAAAAAAAAAAAAAAAAAAAAAAAAAAAAAAAAAAAAAAA